GGAAGAGAGCTGGGGCGAGATGGCATGGCACCCGAATGCCACGGGGGACTGAAGTTACATTGCTCTGGGGGTGGCCATCCAGAATTTTGGACCTACTCAGCTGTCCCCGAATTGAAACCATCTGTCTAGATGTGGGCTGCTTCCCAGGACAGCCAGCAGGGAGGCAGTATTCTGCCCTGGGACATGGCCTCTTCGCCAACAGATTAGAGGAACCCTACACAGGGTTGTCCACCAGGGGCCAGTAAGGACGTGCCTTGGAGGCTCCACAGCAGCTTATTGAAGCTGGAGTTGGGAACTAGTTAAGAAACGTCATTCTGCACCGCTGCCATCCTTGGTGGAAATGAGGAGGAAAGAAAGGGACTTACGGGCCAGGAAGGAGCAGTGCTGCTCAGTGGGGTCCGCCCAAGAGGGACCTGCTCTCCTGCGCCTCTGGAACTGCCCTTGGAGATGGATGAGGTCCAGTCCCCACCCTACCCCTAGCCCCCCAGAGCCCTTCGGTCATTCTGTACCTTCTGCAGACGTGCACTGGGGGTGGGGGGCAGTAAATCCAGGGGCACCCCTGCCCCATCAAGTTGGGTGGTTGGCACTGGTCCCAATGCTGCCTCAGCCGTGCGAAGTGAGACAGCTGATGTTTGTTTAGCACCTCCTCAAACCCTCCAGAGCCTTTCCTTCCCCACACCAGAGACACCAGCTGTGGAGAGCAGGGACTAAACAAGTATTTCTGGGTTCCAACTGTGTGCCAGGCTCTATCTTAAGTGCTGGGATATGGCAGGTCCCTGCCCTCAGAGAGCTTGTAGTCTAGTAAGAGTGACAGTTAGATAAGTAAAGACACAAACAGGGGAGTGCACTGAAAGAAGTAACAGGAAGAGGTGACCTGGGAAGGCCCTTATGAGGAGCAGCATCTGAGCTGGAGACCTGATGGCTAAGAACGTGGCCACTATACTAAGAGCCAGGAGAGCATTTCAGCAGATAAAAGAGCATGTGCAAAGGCCCTGAAGTGAGAACGACTTTGGCTTGTTTGAAAAACAGAGACCAGTGTAGTGAGTGAGGGAATGAATTCATTTCTTATCGTTGCCATAACAAATTACTACAAACTTAGTGGTTTCAACAATGAGAAGCCCGCGCACCGCAACGAGGAATAGTCCCCGCTCACCGCAACTAGAGAAAGCCCACGCAAAGTAATGAAGACCCAACGCAGCCAAAAATCAATCAAAAAATAAAATTAAAAAAAAAACTTAGTGGCTTAACATAATACAAATTACCACTTCGCACCCATTAGGATGGTTACTATCCAAGAAACAGAAAATAACAAGTGTTGACAAGGATATGGAGAAATTGGAACCCTTGTACATTGTTGGATGGAATGTAAAATGGTGCAGCCACTGTAAAACAGTTTGGAGGCTCCTAAAAAAAATAAAAATAGCATGACCATATGATCCAGCAATCTTACTTCTGGGTATATACCCCAAAGAATTGAAAGCTAAGTCTCAAAGAGCAGCATTATTCACAATAGCTAAAAGGTGGAAACAACCCAAGTGTCCATCAACAGACGAATGGATAAAGAACATGTGGCCCATCCATACAATGGACTATTATGCAGCCTTGAAAAGGAAGCACATTGTGACACCTGCTACAACATGGATAAGCCTTGAGGGCATTATGCTAAGTGAAAGAAGCCAGTCACAAAAAGCCAAATACTGCATGATTCCACTTATATGGGGTACCTAGAGGTCAAATTCATAGAGACAGAAAGACACATAGTGGTTGCCAGGGACTGGGGCGAGTAGGGAGTGGGGAGTTCTCATTTAATGTGTACAAGATCCAAGGAATTACAGAGATGGATGGTGTTGATGGTTGCACAACATTATGAATGTATTTAATACTACTGAACTGTACACTTAAAAATGGTTAAGATAGGGCTTCCCTGTTGGCGCAGTGGTTGAGAGTCCGCCTGCTGATGCAGGGGACATGGGTTCGTGCCCTGGTCTGGGAAGGTCCCACATGCCGCGGAGCGGCTGGGGCCGGTGAGCCATGGCCGCTGAGCCTGCGCGTCCGGAGCCTGTGCTCCGCAACGGGAGAGGCCACAACAGTGAGAGGCCCGCGTACCACAAAAAAAAAAAAAAAAAAAAAAAATGGTTAAGATAGTAAATGTCGTGTGTACTTTCCCACAATGAAAAAACATTGGGAAACACCCCCACATACATTTATAAGCTTACAGTTCTCGAGGTTAGAAGTCTGAAATGGGCTTTACAGGGCTACCTCAAGGTGTCAGCAGAACTGTGTTCCTTCTGGAGGATCTAGAGGAGAATCTGTTTCCTCACCTTTTCCAGCTTCTAGCAGTACCCTCATTCCTTGACTCGTGGCCCCCACCTCTGTTTTCAAACCTCATAGCTCCACCCTCTGCTTCTGTCATCACATTGCCGTCTCTCCCTCTGACCCTCCTGTTGCCTTAAAAGGACCTTCACAATTCCATTAGGCCCACTCAGATAATCCAGGATAATCTTCCCGTCTCAAGATCTTTAACTTAATCATACCCACAAAGTCCCTTTTGCTACATAAGGTAGAATACACATAGAATCTGGGGATTTGGACGTGGACAGCATTGCTCGTGGGTTTCATCTAGAAATGTCCACACTGGTATGTGTGCCCCCTGAGAAGTCACCTGTCCCCCAGCCTCCAAGTCTGGCACGTGGAAAACTAGACACTCTCCAAGGAGGAGGATGCTTGGTGGAACCGTAAACAAAGGCATCTCCAGGTAGCACATTTGAGGCCTGGAAATGTTTGCAGACCAAGAGTGAAAAGACAGGACAAAAAAGATTCATGGTACTGGGTTGCCCCCTCCCTGCGCCCATCTGCGGAAGAAGGCTCTGCTTTGCTCGTGACAGTCCTCTGTCCCCTGAGCTGAAGAGGTGGTCTTGGGGTTTTCTGGGGGAATAATTGGAAAAAATGAGAAGAGGGAGGCAGAATCCGAGAGAAGGGAGACCATTGGGTGCTCCCTGCGTTAGACTACACGGCCCTTGGCTGTAGGATATGTGATGTCACCACAACTCTCATCCTGCCAGGAATCCAAATGCAATTATCCCCAACCCCCCAGTAAGTGGCAAGTGTATCAACACTCCATATGCGTTTGTTTGTTTATGGAGTCTTAGAACTGAAGGTCGAAAAAGATTTTAAAAGGCATCTAGTTCCACCTCCAAACTGATGCTTGAATCACTTCAGTTTTCTCATCAAGTCCCCAGATTGCCTCTGCTTGCACACTGTAGTCACAGGGAGCTCACTACCTATTAAGGCAGCTCATGCCACGGATAGACAATCCAAACTGTCAGAAAGTTCTTTCTTTTTTAAAAAAATTTACTTTTATTTATTTATTTATTTTTTGGCTGTATTGGGTCTTCATTGCTGCACATGGGCTTTCTCTCTAGTTGCGGTGAGCAGGGGCTAGCTTTTGTTGTGGTGCACGGGCTTCTCACTGCAGTGGCTTCTCTTGCTGCGGTGCGTGGGCTTCAGTAGTTGTGGCATTCGGGCTCAGTAGTTGTGGCTCACAGGCTCTAGAGCACAGGCCCAGTAGTTGTGGCGCACAGGCTTAGTTGCTCTGCGGCCTGTGGGATCTTCCTGGACCAGAGCTCGAACCCTTGTCCTGTGCATCAGCAGGCGGATTCTTAACCACTGCACTACCAGGGAAGTCAGAAAGTTTTTTCTTAAGTCAAGTGTGTCACCCTATCATTTCCAGGTCTCCCCTCTGAAGTAACACAGGATAAGTCTACTCCCCCTCTTCAGCGAAGCCCTTCACATAGTTAGAGCCAGTGGTCTGGACCACTGAAGCTTCCCCACGGAAGTCTCCCTGGTCCCTTTAATTGTCCCTCATCAAGATATGATTTGAAATTTCCCCCTTTCCTCCCAGTCCTAGCCACTTTCTGTTGGACAAGCTCTAATTTTCTACATCCTTTTTCAGAATATATGTCTGAAAGTAGACCCAGAACTCCTGGAGTAGCCTGATGGGCACAGAGGAGATGGGACCACCACCCTCTTCCTCTTTCCAAGGCCCAGACTTTGGTTCCAGCAGCCCAAGTCCCCACTCTCTATTTTTAGCTGCTCCACCACACTTCTGATTCCCGTTTTGCTTCCTGTTGAGTAAAACCTTAATTTTCATGCCCACTGCTGCGTCGTGAGCAGCATTAGTTTAAATATACATAGCATTCATTGAAATATGTCCCATTGCTGTATATTTATATCCAGAAAATTACATGGTTATATTTTAGTACTAAACACAAAAGATGAAAAGAATCTTAGGTTCTCTTCCTGAGGTTCATGAGCACACAGACATTGCCAGAACTACTGAGGGGGGCAGACTAGGGCTGGGAACAGATCTGAATGTCCAGCACAGACAGTGAAGCATTTGTTTATTTCTCAGTAGTCGAATTTACATACATGTAGCAGAAGGCAGGATATTAGAGGGAAGTAGTGAAAAGGGAAGAAAATCGGGGCCTAGCAAACAGAAATTCAGATCCTAGTCCTGCTGCTTCCCACTTGTGACCTTGGGCAAGTCATCTTCCAAAGTATCTGTAATCAGGGAAACCATATTCCAGTTGGCTACTTTAAACAGTTGTTCTCTGGTGAAGGTGCTTTTCAGACTTTAAGTGCTGAAATAGACCTTGGTTATCACTGTTGCTACATTACATCCCTTCGGGGCCTTCAGTAGAATCCCTCCTTCCTCTCCCACCCCTGTTTCTCTAACCCAGGCACCTTGCCAGTAGCCAATTCCAGGCCATAGCAACAGGGGGAGCCTGAGTTCTAATTGTCTTTGCCATTTAACTGCATTACCTAGACACCAGTTCCTTCATTGGTATAACAGGGGTAAACACAGAAAAGGGGGGATGCTGTCGTCAGAGGACGCTGTACTACGCGCGGGGGAGGCTGGCCAGCGCAACCGGATTGGGCAACTCTGCACGGGGCGGGGCGTCGGGGAGGCGGGGCTTCCGGCCACCTCCTCCGCTGTTGCCATGGGAGACAGCCGCAAGGAGGCGGAAGGAGCGGACAACCTGCCGGAGCCGCCTAGGGGAGCGGGAACCTTGGCGGCCATGGCGGTGTCGGAGCCCGGGTACCGGAGCTGGTCCTTGTGGCCCGAGGTGCCATCCGCCACCTTCTTCACCGCGCTGCTCTCGCTGCTGGTGTCTGGGCCTCGCCTGTTCCTGTTGCAGCCGCCCCTGGCGCCCTCGGGCCTCTCGCTGCGGTCCGAGGCCCTGCGCAACTGGCAAGGTGAGCAGGGCGGGGCCGGGCCCCGGGTGCCAGCCCTTTTCCTCCGACCTCGCCAGGCCCTGGGCTCTGGCCTCCCAGCATCCGCGTCACCCGTCTCCGTCCGCATCATCATTCTGCCCACCTGGAAGACCAGCCCCATATTCCACGTCTTTGTGCAGAGCCCCATCTTCGTCACCACTGTAATGCTTCCCTACCCAGATTTGTTCCCTTCCCTGTCGCCATCCGACTGGTCAAGGCCCCCATATCCATTCGTAGCAAATAGGTTTCATTCACCCATGCTCGATCACCAAGGAGGATTTTTCTGTTCCCCTCCCTTGTTACATTCACACCTACGTCTGCTTTAGGGCCCAACCCCCCCCACTGAAAAATTTTTTTCTTTCGCCTTCGTCAAGACACTTGAGCTTTATCTGTGGCCTAAGATCCTGGCTTCCTGGGGTTTAGAATGTATTGTGCTTCTTCGTTTTTATCTTAATCCTCACTCCGATTCCCTGCTCGTGGCGGGAGGGGGTATCTTGTACCTTTGGGAGAGGTGTTTGTTTTCTCGGGGAGGGTGAGAGATTTTGCAGACCAGTTAAGTATAAACATCTGCTCATAAAAGATGTTCTTAGTCTCTTTCTTCCCCATTCTTTGCTGGGGAGGAAAATGGGAAATTTGTATGACTTGTTGTTTTGCAAAGCACATTCACATGCATTAATCTCATTTAATACTCACGGTGATACCATGACGTAATGTAGGCTTTATCGTTGCCCATTATTTGGATGAAACTGAGGCTTAATGCAAAGACTCGCAGAGTTATTGAGTTATATAATTGACAGAGGAACCCAGATTTTTCTTTTTATCGTGTGATGTGTTGGGACTGGAACCTTGGGGTTTATGATCCCCAAATTATATAGAATTGCTTCTAGAATCTTCACATTTATACTTGGGATTTCAGTGTCAGAAGTACTCAGCAAGCAATGAATTACTCTTCAGATAATGAAGCCTTACAGAGATGGCCTGACTGAGGTACATGGTTCATAGCCTGCCTCCCTGCTCAAATCTAAAACTGGTCCCTCCCAGCCCCACCTGAGATACACACAGCACATCTGTCTTCAGAGACAGATGCAAAATGCCAGCCTAAACTGAGCTCCCTTTTTTTTTTTTCTTTACTTCACGGCTTCTCTGAGCGTGGGGCTCACGGGCAATGTGAGTATTAGACATGTAAGAGACCTCTGAGGGCCTCGAGTGTATGCCTGTTGTTATACAAAGAGAGAACTGAAGCCGATAGGGCCTGTGACTTGACTGAGCTCAACCGGCCTGGATGTGATAGAGCCAAGATTCCACTCCAAGCCTTTAGGCTCCCAAGTCCAATGTTACTGCCACTTCACCAGTCCCCCTCCTTCAGTTTAGTATTTTGGCCTGTGGGGATGTAAAAGTACATAAGAGAGAGGACTGGTTCTAGAAAAATAAAAGTGAGATTCTTTGCTGTCTTATTGCATACAAAGCGCGGCTCTGCCTCGAAGACTAGATCAGCACTTTCAAGAAAGACTTCTGAGTTCTGTATCTACATTATTAGTGATAGTTTTCTAATCTTTACAGGTGCAAAATAATTCATGGTCCCTTTTTTCTTCCTCTGAACAGCCACTATGGAAGGAGAGGTCAGGATTACAGCCGAGGAGACGGGCACAAAGAGTGTTAAGTGACACCCACTCAATCCACCTGAAGCCGTTACAATTAATTAACCCTCAAACTGCCCGGGGAGATAGGTCAGTATTAAAACCTAAAAAAGGATTATAAAGCACATTACAAATTCAAAGACCATCCCATGCTAAAAAGTGTTATATTTTTTCCCCACGTGGAAGCCAGTCACAGATAAGACTTGCTCCAGGTCTGGGAAAGAGCAAAGATTAGACATCCACGCCTCTACTTTGAGTCCTGGGTCCTTCGTTGTTGCCTCCCTCTGCTTATCCCACTGGCTCCGGGCTGATTTTCACTGGCAATGAGAGCCAGCTACTCCCCGTTTCCTAGGTGGGTTGTAACCTGGCTTTCCCTTCTTGGAGCAACCCACCATTGGGCCTCTAACTCAGTTCCCTCTGCAGTTTACAGGCTGGTGACTTACATCTTTGTCTATGAGAATCCAGTCTCCTTGCTCTGCGGTGCCATCATCATTTGGCGCTTTGCTGGCAACTTTGAAAGAACCGTGGGCACCGTCCGCCACTGCTTCTTCACCGTGATCTTCGCCATCATCTGCGCCATCATCTTCCTGTCTTTTGAAGCTGTGTCATCGCTGTCAAAGCTGGGGGAGGTAGAGGATGCCAGAGGTTTCACCCCAGTGGCTTTTGCCATGCTGGGAGTCAATTCCGTCCGCTCTCGGATGAGGAGGGCCCTGGTGTTTGGCATGGTTGTGCCCTCGATGCTGGTGCCATGGCTTCTGCTCTGTGCCTCCTGGCTCATTCCCCAGACCTCTTTCCTCAGTAACGTCTGTGGACTTGGAATTGGGCTAACATGTATCCTTCCTAGAAGGTAACTGCAGAACAATGACATGCCAAAGGGTGAACCAAGTTGTAGGGCCTGGGGGTGTCAAGTAGATAGAGCTGTGAGCTCAGATGTAGGTAATCTGTGTGCTAGCTTCAGCTTTGAAAACCGTGTGGCCTTGGGCAGGTCACTTCCCTTCTTTAGGCCAGAGTTTTCTCATCTGGAAAAGATCACCATAGCTCACTCCTCACACTGGCTCAGCACTGCCAATTAATAAAATATTCTGTATTGATTTTTTCTAAGGTGTAAACCTACATTTGACTAATTTTTTTTATTGGAGGAACCTGAACTACCCATGGGCTGGAGATGCTCCATGAAAGGAATAGGAAACAGGTTTGTTTGTTTTTGTTTGGCTTAATCTTTTTCTCAGAAGAAAAAAAAAATTTTTTTTTATGGTAGGCTTTTACCATATGGGTAGTTAAAAACTTAGGATAAGCCTCATATTCCTTGTATAAATATTCTGGCAATTAGGGGAAAGTATTCTAAAATATAAAGTGGTTTTTTTTAAAGCATCAGAATGGTAGTGTTTGGAGTTGGACAAGGTGCATTCCTGACATATCTTACAATTTGTGATTCTATGAGCTGTTAGTGTGGGTAGTGTATAAATCCACATTGATAACATTGTTCTTATGTATCTTATTTTTAAATTCTAGTTTAATTTCATTGGTTTTAAACTTTTTTTCCTAACATGAAAATTTAAAGCTATACACTCCCCATGTAAGCACTACTTTAGCTGTATCCCACAAATTTTGATATGTTGTGTTTTCATTATCACTCAGTTAAAAGTATTTTCTAATTTTCCTTGGGATTTCTTTTTTGATCCAAGGGTTATTTATAAGGGAGTTGCTTAATTTCTAAATATTTGGTGATTTCCCAGATTTCTTTTTGTTATTGATTTCTTATTTTATTTCATGTGGTCAGAGAAAATTCTTTGTAAGATTACAGTCCTTTTAAATTATTTCTGGCCCAGCATTTGTTACATCTTGGTGAGTATTCTGTGTGTACTTGAATGTGCATTCTGCAATTAGTGGGTATAGTGTTCAGTTATATGTCAGTTAGGTCAAGGTATTGTATTGTTCAGGTCTTTTGTATCCTTATAGTTATTCTATTTATTACTGGGAGAAGACTGTTGACATCTCCAGCTAATACTGTAGATCTCTCTTTTTTGCTTTCAGTTCTTATCAGTTTTTGGCTTCAAGTGTTTTTGAAGTTCTGTTTATTGGATACATACACATTTGGGATTGTTATATCATCTTAATGAATTTACCCTTTACTGTTATGAAATTGACCCTTTAAATCTCTGGTAATATTCTTTGCCCTAAATTCTTCATTGTCTGATATTAATTTACTTATTCCAGCTTTCTCCTTTCTTAGAATTAGGATTTACAAGGTATATATTTTCCCATCCTTATATTTTTAACATGTTTATGTCTACATTTAAAGCATCTTTCTTGTAGATAGCCTATAGGTGGTTCTCTATCTGACAGTCTGCCTTTTAAAGGCTTGTTTAGCCCATTTGCATTTAGTGTAATTATTGATATAGTGGAGTTAAGTCTGCCAGCTTGCTTTTTGTGTTCTCTTTGTCTCAAATGTTCTTTGTTCCTTTTTACCTCTTTTCCTGCCTTCAGTTGCATATTTTTTTAGTATTTCATTTTATCTTCTTTGCTTATTAACCATGCCTCTTTGTTTTATTTTTTAGTCGTTGCTCTAGAGTTTAAATATGCATTTTTAGTTTATCACAGGCTACATTCAGATAATATACCACTTTTTTACAATTTGTGATTCTATGAGCTGTGATTCTATGTAAGAATCTCATTCCATTGTATTTCTGTTTTCCTTCTTTCCACCCTTTGTGTTATTGTTGTTGTATGTTTTACTTCTACATATGTTATAAACCTCACAATACATTGCTGCTTCTCTTGCTACTCTTTTTTTTTTTTTTTTTTTTTTGGG